CTATTCTTTGTAGTTCTGTTTGAAATTTTTCATATTAAAACGTGTGTTTTTAAAATCACATCTGCAGAGCAGGCTGATTGAGTTGGAGAACATGGTTCTTATCCTCAAGAAACTTACAATCTAGTTAGATAGACAAAGTAAACCCATGGACCTCACACCTATCGGGGGATACCCGTAAGATTCCTGGTGTTCTAATTTTGATACTATTACTAAGTAGGAGGATGTGCTATATCCTGATATCCCTTCCTACTAAGAGATACTGAAAACTGTTAACTTCCTTAACATCCATCTTAAAGCTATTACCAGTGAAAGAATCCAAACTTTTCTGGAAATACTATTTTAGACCCTCAGTTCAAATAACCTTATGGACACAAAACCAAGAGCAGTACCTGAGCCCAGGGATCACAGAACAGACTCTATGAGCTCCATAAATGTTTGTTGATGTTAAGAAAAATGGTGGGCTAAATCTGTCTCATGTGTGCTGGAATCCTGAGGCTCACAGATGTAAAGACTACCACCTGTAAAATCTGACCATTACCAAGCACTTGCTATGGGCCAGGCACTGTGCCAGCCACTTCACATGTACCATCTCACCTAATCCTCACATAACTCTGAGCAAATAAAAGCATTACACCTCCTTAGATGAGAAAACTGAGACTTAACAGGATTATACAATATGCCTTAAAGCACACAGCTGGTACATGCCAAAGGTTGGATTTGAATTCAGGATAATGTGACTACATCCTTTACCCAACACTTTATATTATGAAAAATTCTAAACATAAAAACTGAAATAACCGTACAGCAATATGCACCAACTACAATGAATATTTTATTATACTGCTTTATCCAACCACCCATCCTTCTACCCATTTATCATCCTTATTGTCTTGACATTTCAGAGTGAGCTGTAGATATTGGTATACTCCCCTCAATCACTTTAACATGAATATTGTCAGCTAGAGTTCAATTACTGTTTACAGTTTTCTCTTTTGGTTTACATGCAATGAAACGCGCACTTCTAGATGCTGACTTACTTCCACCACAGACTAATTTTGTATATTCTAGAATTTTAAATAAGTGCAATCATACAGTAAGGCTTCTTTCATGAAGCATAATGTTTTGAGATTCATTCATGTTGTTACTATGTAAGTAGTTTGTTCCTTTTGTCCTTTACCCTAGGATATATTTTTATTGACTTTTAGAGACAGAGGAAGGGGGAGAGCGAGAGAAACATGGATTGGTTGCCTCCCATATGCCCCTGACCGGGGATCGAACCCGCAACGTCTTGGTGTACCCGGAGACACTTTAACCAAGCCACCCTTCCTCTCTCATTCCCCCATTAGAATGGAGTAAACTCCATGAGAGGAGGGACTGACTATGTCTGGCTTATTTCATGGGAATCTGTACATAGTAGTGTCTCTCTATAAATAAATTTTTTAATGAATGGCATAAAAGTTAAGGGGGCACTCATGGCTTTGGGGACAGAATTGAATTTAAGTCCTGGCTTGTCATCTAATAGCTATGCAACTTGAAGACAGTTACTAAGCTTCTCTAAAAACAGCACTTCGTTCAGAAGTTTTTGTGATTTTAAAAACTGATTTTAAAGTACTTATTACCTAACAGATCATAATCTGTATATAGTTACTGAGCATATACCATATGCCAGATACTATTCTAAATGCTGAATGTGAGTTAATTCATTTAATCCTCACCATAACTCTATGAAGTAGGTGTTATAATCATCTCCATTTTTATAGTCAAAGTGAAGGGGATGGAGAGGTTAAATAACTTACCAAAGGTCACAAAACAGACATAGCTTTTCAAACACTGGCAGGCTCCAGAATGCTGTATCTCCTCTCAATAAGCCCTCAATGTTAGCTTTTATAACATTATAATAACTACTATTAGGGGTGAGAAGCCCTGACTGTGCGATGTTTACAGTCACCCGAATGACACTTGCAGCGCAATTAAGGGAGAACTGAGAAGATGGAAGGAGAGAACCTACCCAGTGAGGCGGTTTCGGATAATTTTGACGCTCATCACGGTCTCCCCCATGGTGGCAAAGGCTCTGGAGATGAAGTTCTCATCCATGTAGGGCTCCAACTGCGGAAATACAAGGGCAGAGCGACTCAGGCCAGCTGGCGGGCTCCGCATTCCCGGCTCCAGGGCCCCTTCCCCACAGCCCAGGGTTAGCTACACGCTGCGGGCGAGGGAGAGGGTGTGTGGGCAGGTTTCATCTGCAGAGTGTCTGAACCCCAACTCCGCGTTTCCAGTCCCTTGCGTCCCTTCCCTTTAACTTTACTCCCTTTAGGGAGCCTCCCCCTTGGATTTAGGAACCCCAACCTTCCAGTCTTAAAGCCAAACAGCCCTTCAAAATCCTTGGGGTTCCTCCCATTCTCAGTCCCCAAAGAACCTCCCTTTCCCTTCCATGAACCCAGGCCAGGCCCCAGGACCCCTCCCCTCAGACTCAGCCCCTACCCCTGGATGCTGGGACCCGCTTCTGTGTCACCCAAAAGAACTCCCCTTCCCATTTACTTCCATCTTTGTGGGATCCGAGGGCCTCTCCCTTTCACACCCTTCCTCCCTGCGGACACTAAGATTCCTCCTTGTCGGACCCGACGGCCGCCCTCACTCACGTCGCCCATCCACAGGCTGGCCGCCATGCCCCCAGCCGGGCCAGGACCGGGGGCTGGGCCGCGCTGGCGCCAATCCTCAGGGCCGGGACCGCCACGGAGCATGCGCCCACGACGCCTTCTGCGCACGCTCCGAAACTCGACTCCCGGGGCAGCGCGGCCGGTGCTGCTCCGGAATTTCCCGGAGACAGCCGAGCGGAGCTTCCGGATCCCTGGCGCGAATTTGGATCCGAGTCGGCGGCACGGTGGCGGGTGGACTTTACCCATCGCAGGGCGGTGGGTTGTCGGGGTAACTGGCTTTCTGGGGTTACTTTCTGACTTTATGTACTTAAACATACGTACATACAACATTACAAAAGTAATACATGCTCACTGTTAAGAATTTGCAAATACAAACTGTTTTTGTTTTTTTTTAAGGTGAAAGGTCCCGTTTGGGAGCCTGGACGATCCAGTTCCACTAACTTTGTGACCTAATTGTGTGGACAAGCCTCTGGTCTGCCCCAGCCATCCAGTTCGCAAGACGTGAGATTTTTTTGAAGCTGGAATGGGATTCTTCCATCATTCCCGTGTATAGCCCGTGGGGGTGGGGGAGGGTAAAGGGAGTGTAAATTTGGGCAACCCTGTCATCTCAACCAGTCAGTCCCCAACTCTTGTCACTCTGCTTTCTTGAGTCCCACATCCACTACCCTAATTCAAACCGCCAGGAACTTGAACCTGTCCCAGGACAGTGACCTGCCCAAGGAAAGCCCTTGATAAACACGATTTCGATGACTAGATAATCCTGGCAGTTTAGCAGTGCCCCAGGTCGTCGCTTCGCTTTGGTGCCCCTTTCTCAGAATGGGACGCTTCTGTTGGTGGCAAGGGTTTCCTCTTAACAGTGAAGCTCATACCAAATGTTTCACGATCCCTTTCTGGGGCTCCTACTGAGGCCCTTCCTTACCAGTTTATATACCCTAAGCTTGGGGTGTTGGGCCCCTATGTCAAGCACTTACTGGTCTGAAAACAAGACCTAACCCCGAGTCGCCAAATTTCCAGCTTTATCCTACTCACTGCAATAGCTTTGGCTATAGATTCAAAAAAATGGGACACCAATCCCAGTCCCTTTCTAATTATTGCGGTAAGTCGTTGAACCTCTCTGAGACTAATGTGGATAATAGCAGTGCTTACCTCATAGGGTGTTGTGAAGCCTTCAAATGATCATTTACGGTGATATATTTAGTACTGTTTGCCAACCTGGGCTCTTTTCTTACTGTTTCTTAAATATGGAAAAAACTGTAAATATTCTTAGAATATAAGCTTCACAAGACAGGGATCTTTGTACATTTGTTTCTAATCAAATTCTTAAAATGTTTGGGACAGGTATGCACTGAAAAAAAAATTTGCTGAATTTATTACATAAACAGCAGACCCTTACCCCATCTATCCTTACCTTCTACTCTCACTCTATGGGGACAATGATTTCCAAATCTTTTCCCTAGGAGCTACCTGCGTATTTCTAAATAACAGTTAATTTATAGTTTCAGTTATTTTAAGCAACTGCCCCTCCTACATACACACTTCTCAATCTCCTGATGTAACTTTTGTCAAAGCAATATTGGACATTTACATTACTTCAACTTTGTCAATATTATTTATAGCTGAGCCACATGGGGTATTATGACATTTGTTTTGGGGTAACCAATCCAAGTTGGAGAATGGGGGAAGATAAAACTAAGCACTTGAAAAACAAGGCAATTAATTATTAACCCCAGGAAATAAAATTTTAAAAAGCACAAGAGTTATAATAGCAAAGAATTACAGATCACTTACTATGTGCCGGGCACTGTCCTAATATATGTAAGGCTCTAACAGAGAGATTTGTAACTCTTACATGCCCCACAAGGAAAAGGAATTGAGGTTCTGGGCTCAGGTAGAGGCTGATTTAGATTCCAGCCTAGCCTGTACACTTAACTGACTTCAAGCAAGTCACTTGAAGTCTCAGGGACTGTTTCCTGAGGAACAGCAATGACTACTTTGAAGGGCTGATGTAAGGATTAAATTATTGTTGCCTATAAAGTGCTCAGCACAATGCCTGGTCCATTTTAAGTCCCAATCCATAAGAGCTATGATTAAAAACAGGGCACTTTCAACATGCTATATTGTCAAAAGGGAAAACCCCCAGTAAATCTAATACAATTGTACTTTGGTGGGGGTGATGGGGGGCGGGCAGGGGGAGGAAGTAGCAGACATGCAAGTACTTCTTTACAGAGAAAATATAATCAAGAGTGTGATTCTTTTTTCCTTTTAGGAAGTCAATTTCTAGTCCGTATAGTGCCTGCACCAAAACTGAAAGTTCAAAAGGGGGGGAAAAAATCACAGAATACATTTCAAGTTATTTTACATCATATTCATTTTTCCAAGAGTCACTGACATCCAAGAACCCTCCTGGCACTAATAAAACTTTCCTGTTATACATATCAACAATGTCCACTGAAACTTTCTGCAATTATAGGAATGTTCTATGCATTTCTACATTTGCATAGCCCAATACCACAAACACTAACCACATGTAATTACTGAGGATTTGAAATGTGGCTAGTGCAACAGAGGAAGTTCATTTTAAATTTTTACAAATTTTAATTAATTTAAATGTAAATGGCCACATATAGCTAGTGACCACCATATTGGACAGGTCAGCTCTATGATTTGCTCAAATGCCTGTGAAAATCTACATTAATATGCATAAGTTGTCTTAAGAGTTACTGTGCAGTTAATCATGTTTAATGAATTATATCAGCTGTTGAAAGTGATACAACAGCAAGCTTAGTATTTCTAGAGATGTACTGTCTTGGTTTGGGATTAGGATGTTGAAAGAACCATTCCATGTCTCTCATATTATGCAGGATTTTTTTTTTTTTAAATACAGTGATTCCTGAAATAAATACCTAAGCAAAAATCAACTCTCTTTTGATTTGTATGGAACAGTCACATCAACAGCTGACAGGCACACATCAGGACATTTTGACATCACCTTAAGTCGTAGTCTTGACCAAGTTCACAGGTGTGGGCTTACCTTGCCCTTCCCAACACAGCAATGTTCCCTTAAAAAAGCAGGGAATGTGTAGAAAACAAGTGGCCTGTTTTATAAAACTCTAAATTTATTCAAAATGTTAAAAGATTTCACTCTCTTCTAAAATACTTTATATTTAAAAAAAAATCAAACTGCTTGCTATTTTCTCAGACACTGTACAAGCTTCTGCTTCCCTTTCTGGGGACCAGCCTCTGCCCATACAACCCTCTTCCTTGCCCTCCCCTTCACTCTCGATATTGCTACATTTGTTTATAAAACCCTCCTTCCCCTCTCCCCCAACATCCTGCTCTGCAGGCCTAGCTTCCTTTCCAGATTTCAGGCCCTTGGCTACAAGGTGAGGCAGGCTGGATGGGCAGTGCAGGGCAGAATGCTTTGTGCTTCTGGGAGAGAGGCTGATTGGCTCTTTTCTTGATCAAGTGGAGGATCATTGTTTTTTCCTGCCCCTTGGACACTTGCTCAGGGCCAAATATTTGGCTTGGACTTGCCCATGGTTGGTAGCCCTGCCCTTCTCCAGTTTCCCCCAGGCATAGGTGCATGACAGCTGGGTCTGACACCTGTACCATCTGTCTGCCTGTGGATTGTGAAGGACAGGAAGAGTGGGCATGTGACTAGAGTAGGAGCCCAAACTTCTCAGGGCGTAGGAACCAAACCCTCCAGGGGAGGAAGTTTTGGTTTTTGGTAGACAAAACCAGGGTCAGCCAGGACCATGGGAGGTAGGGATGATAAGGAAAGGTCTAATCACATAGTTCTAGGGTGAGCAACATTCCAACAAAGCCCACTCCACTCCTCCATTCCCCCCCTTCATCCTGTAGGTTACAGGATAATTCCAGAAAGGAGGAAGAAAAAGAGGAAAGTGGTTCTGTTTTGTGGATGGAAAAAAGGCAGATGACAAAGTACTTGGGGCTGGGGGAGGCCTGCTGGAGTCTGTAGTCATCACGGCTTCCATGTTCCAGGAGGGAGGGGCGGGGGGCTGGGAGCCAGGGGCCTCAGAGACTTCATCAGCTCTGTTCCTTGTCCTTGACTAGTAAGACTGTGTGCTGGCCCCCGCTGGACACAGATAGAACCACGCGATTCTCCAGCTGTTTGCCTGTCATCTCCATGGGGATCCAGGCATCCTCCTCCTGCCCTGTGCCCAGCTGGTAGTTGGTGCCCATGCCCCAGGCAAAAACACGACCTACAAGAGAGAGAAACGCGGGCAGCTGTCTTCAGGATCCCTAGCCTCACTTTTCTGTAGTGAGAGAAGCCTGGGACATAAGGGTGAATTTCAGCCTTGGCCTATAGCCACCTGGCAATGTCCCAGCCTCTGGGAGTTCAGGGAAGCTGAGAAAAGCCAAGGAGATGATGGATAAGAGTTTTGTCATCCTGGGACCACAGTCCTTACACATTGCCAAAGACTTCTCCATATCCCTAGGCATGGCATTCAAGGCTATACATGACTGGCCACTCCCCAAACCCCTACAGCACTCTCCATTCCTAAGACCAGCCACCTCTGAGACTGCTCTGGATGTTTCTGTGCCCAGGATGCCCCCTTTTGCTTATCATAAACCTTCAAAGTGAAGTATAAGCCCCACTTCCTCAGGAACTCTTCCCAGATCAAGTACCTCCACCAACCTGACTTCTCAAGACCTCCATGGCTGTGACCCTCACCCACTCAGGCTTTGGTGACTGCTCAATCACACCCTTTTCTGCTGTGCTTGCCAGAACCCGACTACTAAGCCTTCTCTCTGGGAAGCTGACACATACTAGGTTGTAAATAAAGGGGTCACCATGGTGGAAAATGTAAAGAAAAACCTGAGTTTGGAGTCTGGAGACCTGCCTTCAAGTCCTACTGCCTGGTGGGGTCTTGGTTATACATCCCCCTCTGCTGTTTTTCTCTTCTACAGAACAAATCACTTTTATCAAAATAATTTGTTTATTCATTTTAAGTTCATCAAAGCCAGAGCTTTTGATAATCAGGAGAAAAACCATGTTACCGTAAACACTGCTCTTTGCATCTCAGCTCCATCTGATGGTGGACATCAGAGCCACTGGGCAGTTTGGTAAGAATCACAATCCCCAGGCCCCAACCAGACAGTGTGAGCAGCCCCACTCACCATCCTTGGTCACGGCATATCCCACAGAGGCCCCACAAGCCACTGAGGAGACGGAGGGCAGCTTGGAGATGAGGGTGGGTATGCTCTTCTCCTCAGCACCCTCCCCAAGGCCCAGCCGCCCATACTCAGCCCGGCCCAGGCTGTATGCTTTTCCTGTGGGAGGAGGGAGAGAGATGAGCAGCAGCAGAGAGCGTGTTCCAGGTTGGCCAGGTGAATTCCCATATCCATGGGAGCTGGTCCCCATTCCCAGGGTGGTGAGGAGGAAGTCTTCAGTGTCTCTTCCAGTTTTGGGGGAGGCCTGGGAGAACCTCCATAGGGCCCCACTGAACTCATACTTGAAGAGCACCAGGACTCTGGGGGGTGGGTGTGACCCTCACAGACCCACATTTAGCCCAACCCATGAAGCAGACCCAGGTTCCAAGAGCCATGGTCTCAGGAGTCAGGCTAGGCCTGTGCCAAGGGATCAGGGCACTCCCGATCCAAAGGTCCCACCTTCCGAATCCATGCAGACTGTATGGTGCTGGCCACCAGAGAAGCCCACCCAGGACTTGGTAGAGTTCTTGAAGGATGTCAGGTTCTGGGGTACAAAGCAAGATTCTGTGCCTGGAGTTCCTGGGAGGCAAGGCCAGGAGAGAGTTGTTAGGGGTGGGTGAAGGTGTCCAAGGAGCTGTCCTATTACACACTATCCCCCCCTCCCATACTGAGGCTACCCTACCCCCCATCATATGGATATTCTTTTTTTTTTGGATATTCTCAATTTGCAGATGACAAAACTGTGACTCTGAGGGATGACTCCAAGAGTGTGCAATAAATGAGTAATGGAAGCAGGATTGGAACCCAGTTCACTCTGGCTATGCCAGATGCTGGTTTTGGGACTCACCAAGCTGATGGTAGTTTGAAAGACCACAGCCATATACATGGCCCTCGAGGGAGATGGCAAAGGTGAAGTAGGCGCCACAGAAAGCATCCTGGAATTTCACATGGCCCCGGCTTCCCCTGCATTTCAACATCACACACTTGGGGACCAGGAGTCGTTCTGCAGGTAGAGAAGCAGCCAAGGTCAGTGGCAGACACACACAGCCTCTCCTCTCTGCCCCATGTTGGTTTCTCCCACATTAGCAGAGACTTTTCTCCCTATTACACAGAAGAGGTAACTGAGGCCAAGAGAGTACAAGTGCCTCACTCAGAGTCCCACAGCCCTAAGAGGTAGTATTTACATAGAACTTACCAGGTGCCAGCCAGCCTTCTCTGTTAATTCATTTAACCTCACAACAACCCAATGAGGTAGGTAGTTTAGAGATGAGGAAACTATGTCCAGGGTCCTACAGCCAATAGGTGGTAGAACCAAGATTCAAACCCAGGGTAGCCTGGCTCTAGAGTCAAACTCCTTATTTATTTACTTAAATAAGAGTGAATTTTTTATTTTTTATTTATTGATTAGAGAGGGGAAAAAACGCACATCAATTTGTTGCTCCACTCATTTATACATTCATTGGTTGCCTCTTCCTATATGTGCCCTGCCTGGGGATCGAACCCATAACCCTGGTTTATCAGGGCAACACTCCAACCAGCTGAGCTACCAGCCAGGGCTAGAGTCAAGTTCTTAACTACCACTGCAAGTCTATCTGATGTAAGCCTAAAAACACACAGAGAATCCCTCCTGCTTATGACCCTCATCAGGGGTGGATTGCTGAGTTGCCCTGCCAAAGGGACCTAAGCCACCTACCAAGACCCTGCCGGCCACCACGATTGGCAAATAATTCAGGCACACGACCCAGCTGGCCCTGCTCCCCACAGCCCAAAGTGTAGAGGTCACCATCGGCTGTCAGCATCACCAAGTGGTCGTTTCCTGAGGGTGAGAGGAAGGCAAGAGATGCAGGGCTTGTCTGTAAAGCCCAAGGCTGGGCCAGCACCAGAGGTTCTCCAACTCTTGCCCAGGGCAAGTAACCCCAGACTCACCTGAGGCCACCTTCACCACAGGCATACTCAGCTGTACTTGCACGGGTACCATGCTCTTCTTCATGGGCTCCAAGAGCCCAATCACACCATTATTATCCTGGAAGGGAGGGGCAGAGCACTTATCAGCCAGCCCTGCATGCCCCATACCAGCCAGATGAGCCACAGAGCTGTCTGGTAAGGGGCACTGGTGCCACATGCGGATGGAGAGGTGGGCAGGAATGAGGCCATATAATGAAATGCTTATGAATGAAATCATACATGGTTTATGAGTTGCATTAAAATAACAAAGGAGTGGAGGAGTGCATGGGAGTAAAAAAGAAACAAGTTTGGCCAAAAGTTGGTTAACTGTTGAGTAGATGGGCATCCAATATGTTATTCTGATTACTTTTATGTGTTTGAAATTCTTCATTAAAAATAGCCCTGGTGAGAAAACAACTCATCAGATTCCTTTTTTTTTTTTTTTGACATTTCAAAATAAATAAAATATCAAAGTACCAAAACAATTTTAATGCTGAATCTGCTTTTAATTTTTTAAAATTTATTTATTATTATTATTTTAAAAATATGTCTTTATTGATTTCAGAGAGGAAAGGAGAGGGAGAGAGAGAGATAGAACCATCAATGATGAGAGAGTCATTGAAGGGCCACCTCCTGCATGCCCCTGACTGGGGATCGAGCCCGCAACCTGGGCATGTGTCCTGATTGGGAATCGAACCCCAATTGCCTGGATCTTAGGTCAACGCTCAACCACTAAGCCATGCCCAGCCGGGCTGAATCTGCTTTTTAAACTACACTCCCACCTGGCCAGGCGTGGCTCAGTGGTTGAGTGTCGACCTAGGATCCAGGCGATCGGGGTTCAATTCCCAGTCAGGGCACATGCCCGGGTTGCGGGCTGCAGCCGATCAATGACTCTCTCATCATTGATGTTTCTATCCCTCTCTCTGTCTGGAATCAATAAAGATATATTAAAATATATATATATATATATATATATATATATATATATAAAATAAAATAAATAATAAAAATAAATTAATTAATTAAATTAAATAAAAAATAAATAAAATAAATAAATAAATAATAAAAATAAAATAAAATAATAAAATATAAATAAAATAAAATAATAAAATAAAATAAAAAAACTACACTTCCGTGTCTTGGAAATTCTAAGATGTAACAATACCCCTGTGCCCCCAAAACCCCCAATAGCCCTGAGAAGTGTGGAAAATGGCAGGAAAGGGAGGAGAGGTTGAAGGTAGGGAGATGGGTGACGACAACAGGCTTCCTGGATCAGCTTTGACCCAAACACATCCTTGACCCACCCCTTTCCCAAGACACATACTTCACCACATCAGATTCTACGAAACAGCCAGTGGTGTGGACAGGCCTGAATGAAGAAGCCAGAGAACTGGGTCTGGGCCCAAGCTCTATCTCTAGGACTTGATTTCCCCACCAGTAAGTACAATAGGGCATGGAGATGGGTTATCCTTGGGGCCCCACCAGTTAATTCTGTCTGCCAGCCCCCATGCAGTTTTTCAGACCATCTTACCCGGAAGGAGCCCCAGAGGAAGACACGGCCATCCTCGGTGAGAGCTGCTGTGTGACTGTCTCCTGCTGACACTTGTACCACTTTCTCTTGCAGTTCTACTTTCCCGGGAACCATCTCTGAGCCCTCCACTGATGTGTCCCTTCCCAGAGCACCCTCATCATTGCAGCCGAAGGAGTAGACCTGTGCCCAGGATGCCCCCATTAGTGCAAGGTCTGGCCTTTTAGTCCATTCTTGTTCAAACCACCCCCTGCTCCATCTCCATAGAGAAATGTGTGTGGCTTGAAGCTCCATCTCCAAAACCCCAATCCCAGACCTTGTGCAATCCCATGCTACCCCCAACCTACCTGGCCACTTTTGCTTAGACACACGGTATGCATTCCCCCAGCCTCGGCCTGTACAATGTCTTCTGGAATGGGTACTAGGGCTGGTTTCTTCCTCTCCATCACATTCTCGCCCAGTCCCAGCTGGCCCACGTCACCCTGGCCCAGTGTCAGCACCAAGCCCGGTTCTGTGCGGTGGGACCTATGTGAGACTGAGGGGTGAAGAAGACAGCCTAAGTGTGTAGGATGACAGGAGAGAGGAGAGCTCACTGCATGGGCTCTGGGACCACACAGATCTGGGTTCAAGACCCTGCTCTGCCACAGACCATTAGTATGACCTTTCCAAGCCTAAGTTTTCTCATTTGTGAAATGGGGATAACAGAAGTACCTATCTCATAGGGTTTGTGTAAAGATTAAAAATTGAGCACATTATTAATGTGAGAGGAAGGAAACAGAAACAAGGAGACACTCAGTATTGGTGGGGAGAGCAACCAGCACACAAGGTAGTTTTCCTGGTTAGCTGGAAGTTCTTGATGAGGCGCCGTGGTGCCAAAAGTGAGGGCTCAGGTAATAATGTCTACTCTTTACTGACTGCTTACTCCATTAACGATAAATTGCTTTGTGGTCCCCCAAATTATGCTACAGACCTTCCACATATAAGATCCCATTTTATAAGAAAAGGAACAGAGCCTCAGAGAGGTTCATAGAGCTAATAAGTAGTAGTGTTTGCACTGAAACCAAGGGACCCTACATGGGTCTGCACAGTCCCTAGCCTCCACCCTCAGGGTATGACGTAATTTCTGAACATATTCACACTGACACCCTCCGTTTCTAGGGTGAACAGACACAGAGCCGCAGCTGGAGGGAGGGGCAGCAGTACCAGCTGACACAGGTATTTGTGGGCGGCCCAGGGCCATCTGCTGGCCAATGGCAATCGCCCCGCAGCCCAGGACAGCCAATGGTGTCCAGCCCCTCCCCCGGGGGTTGCCAGGGCCTCTGAGGCTGCGCGTAGGGTGCACTGGGCAGGGAGCCACCTGGTCGGGTTTTCAGGTCAGGAAGGCTCGGCCTGCAAGCACCTCGGGCGGAGCGGGCGCCTGGAACTCGGTGGGAAGCAACGGCCCTCACTGCCTGGTTACGAGGGTCTGCAAAAGACATACACTGTCTGAGTGTGGGTCCACACTCCCCTTCCCAGACTGGGGGTGGATCTCTCTTCCCTATCTCCCTCCAGGGCTCCAGAAAAGAGGAAACCACAGCCGCCTCCCTCAAATGCTACCATGGCATTATCTCATTTTCCTCACAACAGCTCAGTAAGGTTGGCACTGTTCTTGAGAGCCTCTTATTTCAGGAAAGGGGTGATCCAAGCTCAGCAAGATTAAGATACTTGTCCAAAGCTACACACCTAGAAAGTGGCAGGGCCAGGCCTTGAACCCACATCTAGAAGTCAGTGGTCCAATCCTAATCTATTATTGCCTGGGGCAAAGCTTCAGGGTCTAGTTTTTGCTAGTACTACCTGAGGACTTTTAAGACAAGTCTCTGTGCCTTTATGATTCCTAGAGGGTGAGATTCAATGACCTACAGGAGACTACAACTGGGTGGAGCTCCTGGACTTCCAGGCCCCTCAGCTTCAAATGTCAGGGGGGAAGGAGCTCAGTCTCAGATTTTGGGGGCTTCAAGAGGCAACACATACTGAGACAGAAGCCAACTTACCCTTCACTTTCTTGCTTTTGGGGAGGGCATCTTCTGGGGGTGACCTTTTCTTAGCCACACGTTTGGGTGGCATCTTCCTGTCCTGAAAAACCCAGGCAAGTACTCCATGTCAGACAGCAATAATTTTCCTGCTTTAATTAGGCAATGTTAACAAAAAAGAAAACCAAAAAAGGCGAGAGGAATTGCCCAGCAATTCCACTTCTCACCCAAAGAAGTTCCACAGATATTCTCTACTGTAGGCTTCGTAACATTTTTAAAAAAGGGGGCAACCCATGTGCTTAACAGTAGGGGACTGGCTAGATAATATGTGGTATATTTATGACAGAACAGTATGTAGCCACCAAAAGTGATGCTTTCAGAAACTTATTTATTGAATAGGAAGATGTTACCACTGCCAAATAATATAAGCGCATTGAAAAACAGTCCATCCTATTTTTGAGATATAAATGCGCACACACATATAAAAATAAGTGTAGAAAAAATGTGTAGAAAGAAATACATTATTAACAGTGGTTACCCCTGGAAAATGGGATTATAGACAACTTTTACTTTTTTCTTTGTACCTTCCTATATTATCTAAAATGCTTAACAAGGAGCATTATATATTTTTATTATAAAAAGTTAAAACATTGAATAATATTAAGTATCCCTCATAACGGCCCCCAAACCCTGAGATAATAACTAGTAACATTGTAACTAATGGTTAACTACCTAACCACTATGTAACTTTGATGCATTACTGTTATTATCAGACTTTAAAAAGTTACTCTCATTAAATAAAACCAAACCAGACCATTTGTGCCCTTTGATCCCAAAGTGCCACTTCTGGGAGGAGCCTGGCTTTTCTAGAGTCCAACAAGGGCACTGTACATATACTCAAACTAACATACAAACACCAGGTGTTACAAAAGAGGGAAAGGAAATCACCTATGCATGACAAAAAGGGTTGCTGGACCTAGGATAATCCAGGGCAGCTGAAAGCCTGTCCTGAACCCCGCCCCTCCTTTAATTGCTACTGCTCCCCAAGGTCTTCAGTTCTTCCCCAAGGCTGCTGAGAACAAAGGCATTCTCTCTCAATTCCAGTCCAGCCTAAACTGTGCCCCAAACCTTTTCCCTCCACAAATGTAGTTTTGAAAATACATCTCTACTGAGCCCGGGTCTTTAAGGTTGTGAAGGGCAGTCAAGTTGTCTAAGCCTGGGGCTCCCAAACTCTGGATTGTGACCCCTCAGTAAGGATGGCTGGGGCCAGTACACTTTAGATCTGTCCTGATACAAAAGTGGTATGGCCTGTGGCAGTTAAGAGTCCAGCCTCTGGAGCCAGAATCTGGGCTCAGCTACTTTCTAGCTGTTTGACCTGAGGATATTTTTTCCACTGCTTTTCAGAGAGTGGAAGGGAAAGAGAGAAAAACATCGATGTGAGAGACACACAATGATTGGTTGCCTCCTGCACATGCCCCGACAGGGGCCAGGGAGGAGCCTGCAACCAAAATACCTGCCCTTGGCTGGAATGGAACCCAGGACCCTTCAGTCCAAAGGCTGACACTCTAACCACTGACTGGGGAGCGTGGGGAAGGGTACTAGCTCTGGAGTCTGTAACCTCACCACAGCCTCATTTCTGCAAAGGGAGACTGAGCCCTCTCTGACCATAGCTGCTGTCCCTACCACCATCCCCTAATCCCCAATGTCAGGAGGCATTCAACTGTCTGCCGGACTCAGAGGCTAAAATTTTGGGGCATTTCATTGCAAGCTAGCCACACTGATCTTACTATACAGATAAAGAAACTGAGACTCAGAAAGGTGAAGGATCTCACCCAAGATTGGAAGAGGAAATCAAGATCTAAACCTCAAACCTGAAACAAGCTGCTTCCTTGCTCAGGCTCCTCAGTGGTTCCCTCTGCCTAGAAGATTAAGCCCACATTTTTCAGCCTGGCTAAGACCTCCAGGCTCTGGTACTGACTTAACTTTTGGCTTCATCCCTTATCTATCACATCCTCCTTTGTCTTCCCACAGCCTGAACTATTTACTGTTCTCTCCATACCATTTGCAACTCTATACCTTCTCATCCTTTATCCTACTGGAAGAACTACTCAGGTCTCAAAGTCAACTCCACTGATCCTCTGATCCCTCTCCCAATCCAAAAGGAATCATTCTCTCCCAGAGAAATGAGGACAGACTTTCGGACCATAATTATTTTAATTTACATGTCTATCCACCATACCAATCCACTCTTTAAAATATGAGGCTCTCTGGGGCATTGGCTACTCCTATCTTTTACAGTTGAGGGAACTGAGACACACAGTAGTAAATTTACTTGCCCAAGTTCACACATGCAGTTAAGGAGAGCCAAGAACAGAACCCAGGTATATGTGATGGATTACAAGAATAATAATAATAAACAAAAGAAATACAGGTAGGCCATGATCTGGGCAGGGGTGGAGGCAGCCTGGTCAGGCCTCCCCAGGATCCCCCATGAACCTGGCCAAACACAAGAGGCAGGCAGCAGAAGAAAGCTGAGAGGGAGAGGATGGTGAGACTAGAGAGGAGAAACTGAGGCAGCTAGGGCCTAAGAGGGTGGGCCAGGTGGGTGAAGAATCTGAAGGGCATAGGAAAGGACAATGGGTACAACTCCCTGCTGTGGTGGAGCTGAGCACTGGCTTTAGAGTCCATCCATCCTGAGTCCTCTCATCTCACAAATGGAGGTCTGTGGGCACTGCAGTGCTGTTGTGAGCAGTCCTAGGAGCAGGGCAGGGGATGAGAAGGCACCTTCTCAAAGGTGGAGCCTTATGTCCATCACCCACCTGCATCCTCTAGTGCACAAATCAGTCCTTTGTGCACACTCCCTAACTGCTCTGGGTGTGTTTTCTTAACCAAACAATGAGTGTATGGACTGGGAATAAGTAGTAGTCTTTTGTCGCCCACCCTCACCCCACAATGGACAAACACGGTTTCCATCTTCTAGGAGCACACAGTCTGTGAGAAAAGACACAGTCCCAAAAAATTAGATGTCAGATACAGAGTCCACTCTCCTAGAATGCTCACACCTGCGTTCACAGATAAGCAAGCTGAGGTTCAGGGAAAGGCACCCAAGGCCACACAGGAGTGGGATGAAGTGGCAGGTCTCCTGACCTCTCCCCACCAGGGCCAGAGCCTTCCCCTTCCCACTTCTGCCTGAGCCTCAGTTTCCTCATGTGATGGACGTAGGGCACACCTGGTGTTCCTGCTGTGACCCCCTGTAACCTCACAACAGCCTCATTTCTGCAAAGGAGACAGAGCCCTCTCTGACCACAGCAGCTGTCCCTGCCACCATCCCCTGATCCCCAATGTCAGGAGGCAGACAACTGCCTGCCAGACCCAGGCAGCTGAAGAATCTCTTTGTGAGAAAGGTCTCCAGGGAAGGGAGGAGAGGGGCTCATCTGTCGACAAACATTTGCTTAACTCCTGCTAAGGGCCAGGCACAGCGCTGGGATACTTCACCCCAAGAGGCCCTCACCAGGGGATCCCCCTTGAATACAGAGCTGTGCCTGGGTTTATGTGTTTATTTTTCCCCCAGGAGAAAAGGGGCCACATCTTCAACCAGATGTTAGAACCACTGCTTTAGGGAATATATTAGTAATTCTCACCACATGCCTCTTACCTTCATTTTACAGATAAAGAAACTAAGAGTCAGGAGGACTGGGTGGGTGGCCCATGGGGACTCAAAGCTCAACAGGATTCCTGCTCCTGGGACGTCTTCAAAAACACAAGCATGAACCCCTAATTCACTGTTCCAGACTCCATTCGAATACCCTTCTTGGGTGTAACCATCCCTGCCTTTCCCACCCCCACCCAGCGTTTCCTGGCCTTGCACCTGCCTGAGACCTTTCAAGGCCCCGGCCCCTGCTGTAGCATCTTGTCACTCCCCTCCCTGTACCCTGTGTTCCAGTCAGGCTCAAACACCTGTGGAGTCCTTGACCACGACACTCACCTGACCTTCATGCCTTTGCATGTGCTGTTTCCTTTGCCTGGATCACCCTAGTCCCCCCACCCGCAGTCTGCCCGAATAAACTGCAGCTCCTTTCAAACCTCGCCGGGAAAGCCATCCTGGACCCCCTGGGCAGGGGTGGGGGGTCGCCCCCGGCGTTCCCGTGTAACACTCCACACACGAGTCCCACTTGGTTGGAGCACCTCAATCACTATTTGACGAATGAATGACTTGCCAGCAGCGGTGCCCCTGCTCAGCCGCACACATCGGAGATGGCACTGGCCCTTATGTAACGGTGCCCCGCGCGGGTCTTCCCAAGGAGACCGGGAGTTCCGTAAAGGCCACACGGGGCCCTTCTCACCATTGTTCCCCAGCCCCCGAGCGCGGCACGGGTGGACATCCAGTAAATACTGTGCTGACAGACGAGTCGATGCGGAGTCCACAGCACACGTCTCCAGCCGGTCAGCAGTTAACCCGGTGCCTGCGGACGCTGAGCTTTCTTTCCCTGCAGCAGCCCCTCAGCAGCCTACCCTCGAGCTCCTAAAGCAGACCCTCGCCGGGCAGGAGTCCTTCCCCGCTCTGCAAACTGAATTCTCCAAACCAAGGCTGGACGAAA